TTCATTCAGGGCCCCATTAGGTGTGTCCAGGTTTACTTTCAATGATTCCTCCTTGTGGTAGTTACAGATTTTCATGTCAACTTGAAGATAAAGAAGTGTAGAGGTGGTATTCAACCTGTCCATCAAGTCACAGCCCGATGGGGCCTCCTTGTGGATGTGGCCTTCTTACAAGGAGGGCACAGGGAAGTTCCCCCCCCCCCGTCTGTCTTTGCCTTCTTGATGGCAAGCCACTTTGGGACCTGCCAGAGCCCTGTGATGCTTCCACTACCATTGGATCCACATGACTTTGCACCCACCGGCCTGTAATCTTCCTGCAATTTGCATCATTGCATAAGCTGTGTGAGTCTAAAGAAGGACTGGGCTAGGATGCTTTCTTGACATATATAATTACTTCTTTGTGGGATCCAGCTCATATCCAGATGGGTTTTAGGGGGCAGTTGTGTAATAGAGAGGTAAATTAAACAGACAAGACATGCAAGTGCTCCCCTCTTCCATGGTGGGCGGGTTCTAAGGTCGATGATGGCCTAACCTGGTCTCTGAGCTGACTTGACCTTAAGTGTTCCTGAACTCTTCTCTGGGGAAACAATCTATGATCCTTATCACAAGGGAGTGATAAGGTGGGGCAGACAGTAGGGTCTGACTGCTCTTTTTTTTAAAGATCATTTTATTAGGGGCTCTTTCCAGCTCTTATAACAATCCATACATCAGTTGTATCAAGCATATTTGTACATCTGTGGCCATGATTTTCTAACATTTACTTTCAATTTGAGCCCTTGGTATCAGCTCCTTTTCCCCTCCTCCACCCTTGTGACCCCTTGATAAATTATATTTTCATATTTTACACTGACTGCTTTCTCCTTTCCCCCATGGTTTCTTCCTACCTCCTCTTCTCACATCTCCCCTACCCTCCTTTTATTGATACTCCCATTTCTGTTCCTGAGGGGTTTATCTGACCTGGATTCCGTGCATCCTGAGCTCTTATCTGTGCCTGTGTACATGCTCTGGTCTAGCCTGCAGTGAAAGGCAGGATTGGGGTCATGATAGTGTGTGAGATATAAAAAGACTTTTCCCCAGCTTTGTCTCCCCCATATTATGCCCACAGTTTGCCAGCACATGGTGGGAGGTCAGATGCTTAGAGATATTCTCCCTGAAGGCATTCAGCCATCAGACTGCTGTCTGGTCCACTGTAAGTGGGGCTCACACCCTACTGATAAGGATAGTAATTGTTTCCATGGAGAGCCAGAGAAGTGGTCAAACCTGCTCAGTGGCATCCAGTTAGGCTGCCATCCTGAATCTAGGATCTGCTCACTTTGTCATATGTGTACCCCCAATCCCTCCCCTTCATATTGCGTGTGTACCCTTAGATCATCCCCCTCCCAATACTGTATTACCTATAGTACAACCCCTTCCTGTGACGTATGTCTTTACCTGTAATTAGGGGGCTTGCATGCCCCCAAAAGATATATAAGCCTTGGTTACAAATAAATCTCCCTCTCCTCTGCCTTTCCCACTTTCTACATCTCCACGTGGACCACCAAGAGGGGCTGAGATGAGCATGCTACTATGAAATGTGTCTGACTCCTTTATTTCACTTTCTTCTATCTCCCTTATTCTGTATGACATTACTGTAATCTTTACGTATTATCGCTGTACAATGGGGCCTGCCAGGTCTGTGCTGATTTGTCCGGGCTGGCTCTCCTGACAATAGTGGGGTGAGGAAGCCTCAAGGTCTGATCACTCTCTCGATGGCAGACAACCTTCAGGCAGACAGCCTTCAAGCAGTGAACCTTCAAGAGTGTGGTAGCAACTGTGTGCTTGCAAGCAGCACCTTAAATGTGGCATTCTTACAGGGGAGCATCGTGGGGAATAACTTTTCCTTAGGAGAAGAAGGTGACTGGGATGCATCTCCAACCCGGGGGCATGAAGGCCTCCCAGACTCCTGAAACTATGAACATAGAGAATTCATCCCCACACCCTCTCGCTCCCCGGTTTTCCTCAGTTTCCCACACTTTTTGATATGAAGCTCTTTCATATACATGTGTGAGTGTCACTGGATTTTTTTCTCTACTCAACCCAACTGAACACACACTTCTTGAGTCTCAGCCGGGCTTCTCCAGCTTATTCACTGTGCTCCAAAGGTGCACAGCAACTTGGCTGTTGTGAGCTGCTCTTGTTGGCTCCTAACTGACCGAGTCACATTCCTAACAGAACAAAATGCTGCCAGGTCCTGCGCTGTCCTCGAGATGGGTCGCAGAACAGGTCACTGTAATCCACAGGGTTTTCACGGCTGGTTTTTGGAAATGGATCACCAAGCCTTTCTTCCTAGCCCTTAGTCTAAAAGATCCACCCAAACCTGGTTAGCATCACAGCAACGCTAATGCCCTTTCTTGACAGATGGGTGGTGGCTATACCCACAAGCGGTACTGGTCAGGAACCAAAACCCCGTCTCCTGCAACGGAAGGCATGAATTCTACCAGTGAACTACCACTGGTCCCATCGCTTGCTGGTGTTAGCTGCTGTTGAGGCAAGTTCAATCATGGTAGCCTCATGTGTGCAAAGTCAAACTGTGTCCTACTAGGCCTGTCAAAGGCCTTCTGGGTGGTTTTGAAGATCCAACCTTTTGACTAGCAGTTGGGTGCTTACCCATTGGTGTTACCCAGGCATCTTCAGTAATTTTAGGTCCTCACTACTTACCTCTTCTAACCCTTACCTATAATTCCAAACTGAGCTTCAAACTACCTTTTCTGCATCCTACCAGCTGATCCCCCTAGTTTTTAGTGTATAAATGTTTATTAGTTTGGCATGCTGAAAAGCAATAAATCCTCTAATAATCTCAGGGGAGCTTCCCCAGTCATGCGCTTCCTGTAGAGAGAATGAATCTCAGTCCCTCAGCTCCCACCACAGTGAACAAAGGTTGCCTCCCTTGGACCCACTCATGATAATCCCTACCCTGTGCCCCCTCCCAGGATTGTTCCAAGAAGACTATGAATATCAAGATACTTCACCTCCACCCAAACTAAACCCACTGCCATCGGGTCTATTCCAGTTCATTAGGACCCTGGCTTAAGACAAAGCCGAATTGCCGCAAAGGGTCTCCAAGGCTGGAAATCTTGAAGGAAGCAACTGCCACATCTTTCTCCCATTAGCAGCTGAGTGCTTTAACCATGGCATCACCGGGCCTCCTGCTGCTAATTTATATAAAGGACGGACATTAAGAAGAAGGGAGGAGACAGTCAGTGGCAGGCTTTAACAGCTTAAATTTCTTAGGTGTTTTTCTTCAAAACCTCCTCCATTCTACACAGAAAGTGATTTAAAGAGAAAATACATGCCATAAGTCAAATCCTTTTCCTGTCATAAAATACACGAGGGTAAGTAAGAGTATTGCTACTAGGATATCAGTTCCTACATGGATAGGTTTATTCCAAACAAAATGTGCTTCTTCATCAGTGGATGGTTGCACACATGTTCCTGAATAATACACTTGTCTAAGCCGCATTAAGGTGTCTTAAAGAAAAGTCTAATCAAAATCGTCGCATCCAAGAATATGTGCTCAGCCAGCCCCAATTCTAGGCAGAGAGGTCAGCTCAGCTGTTTATAATGACTATTTCCCAAGGGATACTCTTGATAGATTATCTCAAAGGACATATGGACTTAATAGGAGGTTTTAAGAAAATGGAAAACTAAGAGGAAAAAGGTCAGGAAAGCTGTCCCAAGGAATGGATTTCCATCATAACAATGCACGACGCATAGTCACTCTTCAAAGCCAGAGGGAGCTGTTCGCCAAGACCCTACCCCATCCATCATAGACTTGATTTTGGCTCACAATGTTTTTTGCTCTCAAAACTCCCTGCCATCGAGTGGATGCCCACTCAGAGCGACCCTATAGAACAGGGCAGAAATGCCCTTGTGAGTTTCCGAGACCGTATGGAACTGCTTACAGGAGAAGAAAGCCCCTTCTTTCTCCCATGGAGCGGCTGGTGTTTCTGAACTACAAACCTTGCAGATTGCAGCCCAAAGTGTAACCACGACACCAAAGAACACTGAACCGGGGTATCATTTGAGTCTCTCGAGGATCAAAACTGCCATTTGATTGTGCTATCACCCCACGAGTAATCTTTGAGGATGGGTTAGAAATGGAAATACCACTTTCAGAATTGTGTGGACCAAGAGGAATTGTCAAGAAACAGCAGCTTCATATTTTTGGTTTCAAAAAGGTTTCTATGATTTCTTAACAATTCTTTTTTACTTACTCTCATACATGTATTTTTCTGAAAACGTATTTTGTCCCTTGCGAACTACCTCTGGAGAAACACCTTTGACCTCTGCTTGGTTGGTTTCTGGTTTGGGTTTTAATTTTTAGAGGGGTGATGATCAAGAACACAGGTGCTTCCATTACATACTGCATAAGCAACCCTCCTCAACATGAGCATGATTAACAAGCATCACCATCCTATCATTTCCACGATGCTGACAAAATTAGCCTTGTTTTTAACATGTACCTGAATTACAATACTGATTTTTTTTTAAACATTTTTTACACACACAGGGCGGACTGGTACCATCCTGGGGGGGTCTCTTCTAGACCACTGATTCCCTCCCTGTGTGACTGAACCGTGGTTTCTCTATGAGCAAGGCGCTCCCTATGGAACTTTCCAGTTCTAGAAACTTCTGTATCGCTCTGAAAAGACTTAACGTCCACAAATGTGCTTTTAAAAGAGGCCTTTTGATTAAAAAAAACTTATGGGGGAGAAACATTATGAGTGGATTTGAATCCGTTACACATTTTAGTCAGTCGACTGTAAACGAGGGGGTAAATCCAGACTGGATAAATGGGTGAACAATAGAACTATCTAGTCCATATCCATAAATGGACTTGGTTTTCCTTACAATCCTAGGAGGGAGCCAGAGTAAGAATTCTTGTCCCTTTCACACATGAGGAAAGTGAAGCTCACAACGCTTTTAACGGGGCTGTTTTTCGGTAACCCGTCAATCATCATTACCTTCCTAACTTCACCTCGTCGCCCGGGTCAGGACTAAAATCCCTTTCACAGGTGCGGGTCCCAGGTCTTCCGGGCTCCTGGAGGCGGGCGAAAACGAGGCTGTAAGACTTAAAGTTTAAGTCAAGCGCTGCTTCCGCCTCCCTCGTCTCCGGCGCTGCCCGAGTCACGAGTTATCGGCGACGACCCGCCTCGCCTCCTGCTGATTGGGTAGTTCCTGAGGCGGTTCTCCCCTCTCATTGGCTGCTTCCTTTCCAGCACCGCGTCACTCCCTAGCCCAACCGGATATAGGGGCAGGGTTTCCGCTTCCGCCTTCTCCCTCCTCCCGCTCGTCCTCCGACCGTACTCGCCAGCACCGCTGCTGCTTCCTGCTGGGCTGTCGGTGGGTCAGTTGGCTTGTCTCCCAACGTCAGCGGCCGTGCCGTTGAACTGTCCGCCATGGCTGAAGTGGATCCGTTTGGCGCCCCTGCCGGCGGCCCCGCACTGGGGAACGGGGTGGCCGGTGCCGGCGAGGAAGACCCGGCCGCGGCCTTCTTGGCGCAGCAGGAGAGTGAGATTGCGGGCATCGAGAACGACGAGGCCTTCGCTATCCTGGACGGCGGTGCCCCGGGACCCCAGCCGCACGGCGAGCCGCTGGGGGGTCCGGGTGAGAGCGCGGGCACGCTGGGGCGGGAGCACTTGTCTGGAAGTTCAGGCCAGAGGGCTTCTGCGGACGGACGCGTAGCGCCTTGTTCCTTGCTAATCCGGAAGGCTAGAGAGGGGTGAAAAGAGGAAACGAGACCCCTGCCCGGTCATGCGAAACCCAGGCTCGGGAAGCTACCCCGTCAGCGACTACCGTGGGTGCGAGCGGAGCGAACAAAGTAAAAGAAAGTAGGATGGGTGGTACTTAGGCTGAGGCGCCCGAGGAAACTCGTTCAATTTAAGCACGTTTTCATCAAACACTGGTCTTGGCTTGAACTTGCCCTCTGAAACAGCCGCGTTGGCTCATCTAGGCCAACCTTGCACGCGAGTCTGACACCAGGACAGAAAAAGAGTAATACGCTGTGTTTGAGATCTCTAAACCAGCCAGCCAGCCAGCAGTGCAGGTCAGCGTGCAAGCGCTGAAAGTGCACGGAGTGCGGGGTCTGGGGAAGGGAGGGGTGAACCGCAAAGTCAGAGACCGCCTCCAGGAAAGACACTTGAGCCAGAGAGGACGAGGAGGTTAGCCTTTGCGGAACTGGGATTTCTGGAGCTCTTCTGGGAACGGCTTTGGTAGCCCGTGGGCTTGGGACGCTGAAGAGTAGCCGGCACCAATTAAAGAGAGGAGAGGTGTATAGAGAGTGCAGTCTGGCGCTCCCCCTACTCCCCCAACTCAGGCCAAGAGAAAAAAAGGGTTGTGTGTGTATGTGTCTGTGAATGTTTTGCTTATGTGTGAGGCTTAAAATTGGGGCTCTTAAGCCTGTTCGGCGGCGGAGCAAAGTAGGGACTAGTAGCCAGAATAAAGGAGACGTGACTGGCCATTTACTTTTGTTCATTTCCAATTAAGGGGAAATAAGGCGTTGGTGGGGCACATAGGGATAGCTGTACCACCCTAAACTCCGAAATGGAGGGATGTGGCAGGTAGCATAAATGAAATAAGCAAACTGGATGTGAGACTAAGAAACATTGGCGACTGAGTAGGACTGTGCTCAAACAGGCCCAGAACTCTCAAGTTACTGAGTCAGCCAAGCAGAACATCCGCCCGGGGAGTGGGAGCCTCCTCTCTTGTAGTCCCTCAGTTCTCTACTACACCAGGCTGTCTCCTAAGCCATCGGTCCTCCCAATAAGAACCTAGATGGGGACCAAAAGTGCGACTATAAAATGCAAGTTAAGGGCTCCCCAGACATAAGCTTTTTGCATTCTCTAGAATTGTCCAGACAGTGAACATAGGATGTTTAGTAGGCACATTGGACTGCACTGGGCTGTGACTGAGAGTCGAAGTTGCTTTTAGGTGGTTAGATGGTATTTTCATGCAGCCCTCTTAATGTTTGCCTGAGCATCATAAAAACTTGCTTTTTAGTTTTGGGGATTTTTATTTGTTTGTTTGTTAGATTCTTAATTTACTTTCCTACATTTAACAAAAGAGAAACCTTGAGTCCCAGAGAGAAGTGCCTTAAAAAAAGCCAAGTTAATAGCTGAGCCCAATCTTCCCGCTCTTTGACTGTGCCCCTATCTTCTGCAGTTATGGTAGCAGGTGGTGGGGTGAGAGGTGGTCCTTTTTGAAAGGTAATTATGGCTGCCCTGGGTGTCTGGGAGAAGCAGGAGCCCATGGGGTGTGTCCTTACTACACACCTCATTAGAAGGCTGCCCTGACTCAAGGACATTATTCCTTACTGTTCTATCCCTAATGCCCAGCAGGTTTCTGGCACATTGTAGGTGCTTATATGCTTGCCAAAAGAATGGGCAAAAGTATCAGGCCCATCTGTCCCTGCAGAACTGGCAGGTCTGGATGCAGAGAACAGAGTTGGGACACGTAGGCCCCGTGTGCATCAAGCCTTCAGCAAAGGGAAGGAAGGAATGATTGCTGACTTAGTTCTTTGGAAGAACTCTTAGTTAACTAAGCATTTAGTGACCTAAAGCCAGATTCCTGGCCGTAAGGCTGAGTTGGTCGTGCAGTGGTCAGCACTTCCTTTGAGGATTAGAGAACTACTGGACACTTTTTCTTCATTTGTGTGTGTGTGTTTTAAAGAGACAGTATAGTATTCTGTTAATGTAGTCTGCTTGAATGCTTAGCCTTTGTGGTCTCAGGCAAGTTACATATCTGCTACCACCATCCTGCCTCAGTTTTCTCTGTAAAAAAGTGTAATATATGCCACAGAGGGCTGTTGTGATATGAACAAGCACCTCTACTGGGTTTACGCATCGTACCTGGTTTAGAGTAATCGTCCAGTGAATTCCAGCTACTTTCTGAGGGGATGATGGAGAGAGGGATTTTGAGATCTATAGGGTTGGGGGTATTCTGATGAGATTGAGAAGTTTCAGGTGGGACCGCTTTCTGGTGTGTTTAGTAAGGTAAACAGGGGAGTTACAGGGGAAAGGAGGAGATCCACGCTAACCCCAGCCATAACCAGGGCCGTTAGACCTGAGCCTTTGATCCTTCTCTTGGTTGTCAGGAGACCCAAAGAAAAGAAAGAAAGTAAGTGCAGAGGTGAGAAGTAATGAGTGAAGTGGCTCCAGCGATAAGGAGGCAGACCAAGGGGACAAGAAAGGAGCCGCAGAGCCTAGAACCACTGAGGCTGAACAGGGTTCGGAAAGGTGATTATGGAGCTCTAAAACACTCTTCTGTAGCTGGTAACGGTTCTCTTGACGGGAGAATGGAAGGACAGTAGTTGTAAGCTTCCTGGAGGAGACGTCACATTGGTAGTGATGGTAGTGAAGAAAAGTTCGGGGAAATCTTGGGCATGCTGTTCACTTAGCAATAATGAATTTACTCTGCATTTACTCCATCCTTGTTGTCAGGTGCCATTGAGTCTGTTTCACTTGTGGCAACGCTGTGCACAGAGAAGAAAGCACTGTCCAGTCCTGCATCCGCCTCAGAATCGCTGCTGTGCTTGAGCCCATTGTTAGCGCCACTGTGTCATTTCATCTTCTTGAGAGTGTTCTTTTGGTGGCTGACCCATCACCAAGCCTGGTGTCCTTCTCCAGGGACTGGCCCTTTCTGATAAGGGGGCCAAAGTATGTGAGTGAAGTTTCATCGTCACATCTTAGCAGCATTCTGGCCATCATTCCTCCGAAACATTTGTTCAATCTTCAGGCAATCTGTGGCATAGTCATGATTCTTCACAACACTGTAATTCACATACATCAACTGTCCGTGCTCTTTGCTCCATCATCTAGCTCTTTGTGTACAAGAGGCGATTGAAAAGAACCTGGTATGGCTCAGGTGACTGCTTTGTATTTTAACACTTTAATGAGAGAATGTGCAGTAGATCTGACCAACACAGTATGTCGTTTATTTTCTTGATGGCTGCTTCTATGGGCATTGATAATTAACCCAAGTATAATAAAAATCATTAATGACTTCAATCTTTTCTCTGTTTATCTTGGTATTTATCGGTGCAGTTTTAAAGAGTTGTTGACATTGGGTTGTAATCCAGGCTGAAGGCTGCAGCTCTTTCTGGATCATCATCTGCTAAGTGCTTCAAATCCTCTTTGCTTTCAGCACACAAGGCTGCTGTCATGTACATATCTCAGGCTTTTAGGGAGCCTTCCTGCATCTTGATGCACGTTCTTCATCTGGCCCAGACTCTGTTGTTTGCTATGCATACAGATTGAATAAGTATAGTAAAGGTGCAACTCTGACGGACACCTTTTTATGTTAAATGGTGCAGTGTCTCCTTGCTCTCTTGGAATAACCACCTCTGGACAGGTTTTGCTGGAGTGTGCTTGTAGTATTTCTGGGATTTCCATTCTTTGTGGCAGTAACCATAATTTGTTATGATCCCCACAGTCACGTGCTTTTTGTATTAGCAATAAAACAGGGATATGTCTTTCTGATATCCTCTGCTTTGAACCAAGATCCATCAGATGTCAGCATTGATAGACCATTCCTGTCTTCTGAGTCCAGCCTGAATTGCTGGCACTTTCCTGTGGCTGTATGGCTACAGCTGTTCTTAGATTATTTTCCATAATTTTACTTGCATGTATTATTAATATCTCTGCCTAGTCATCTGTATATACTTTCAGATATGATGAGACACCATGGTAAAATGATACTATGAGATAATATGGTAATGTGAGAACTAAGTGATAAGACGAGAACTGATGCTCATTGGGGTTAAGCAGTGCTCCTAAGGTAACAAGCTAGTAAATGTCTCAGCTAAGATTCAAACCCAGTAGACCTGACTTCAAATGACTGAGAAACGCAGGAAGTTGAAGATCAATTTGGAACAACGGGTCACATTTGGAATCTGGGGCCACTGTTTCTGTCTCGAGTTTGAGTTCCTACCATGCTCCAAAAAGTTTGCTTCTGGATCATCAGGTGGCTTAGCTCAGTTGTCCTAATAAATTGAGCCCCAGGACACATTTCCGCATATTTCTGTGGACCAAGATTTACAGTTTTCATAAACCCTAGAAAGCCAATCCACTGGGTCTTAGGGAGGGTCTGAGTCAGAGTTGACCTGATGGCCGGTGGCTGCGGACTTAGCTACCCACAGAAGAATACCACCCCATGACCGAGAGCTCGACCCTTGCTGGTGCGTCAGGATGGATCTTCTAGAATCTAGCTCTGCAGTCAGGCACCACGTGATCTAGCCAGAGGTGTAGAACAAGGATTACGTGTAGTTTTCTTTTTGGAGTAGTGATCAAAGTCTCTGTCCCCTTAGCTATGGCCCTGGGCTGGAATAGATTAACTGGGTCCTCTGTGTGGTTGCTGTAACACATTAACCAGAATGTAGGCCTGGCCAGACAAGCTCTAGGATTCAGAACTATCTCACTCTTTCCTATCTTACAGAAAATTAATTCCAGGTATATTGAAGAGGCTTATTTTTTTTTAAGGAAAAGTGAAATTCTCTCAATAAGAAAGGCCTTAAGCATAAAACCAAACCCAGAAACCCCAGAGGAAGTGATAGTGTCCACGTACACGTTAACGGGTTCCTGTAGTTCCTGGGCGGTGTAAGTGGTTGAAAGCTCAACTACAAGCGAAAAGCCTGGTGGTTTGAACGCATCCAAAGTCACTCAGAAGACAGCCCCCCCCCCCCCCGTTCCTGGAAGGACGGACACGGCCTGGACAGGCCTACGGAACAGGTCTCCACACGTGGAGTCGTGAGGAGGCCAGCACGATGGCACATGACCGCGACATACAGAGGTTTTTGTTAAATATCACAAATGACAAAATGGGAATATTTGCACCTGAGAAGTTTCATATCTACTAAATACAGAATACTTAGATCAAAAGATAGAAAATGGGCAAAACCTGACAGTTCGGTACAAAATAAAATGTCAGCTATGTACGTAATCGCAGGAAATAGGATTGGTCCATCTTAAGTCACCGTGAGTGTTGTTTTCTTTTGCCGCAGAAAGTATGTTAAGTCTCCAATACCAAGGGTGCGCTCGCGCTGTTGGTGCCTCCCTGCTCTGGAGTGATTGTCACTGCTGGAGACTCCTCCTCCTCTGCGTTTCTGAGACTGTAACTCTACGGGAGTAGAGAGCCTCAACTTCCACGGAGCAGCTGCTGGTTTTGAATTGCTACCTGCAGTTAGCAGCCTACCTCGTAACCACTGCACTCGAGAGCTCCTTGGCAGTATTATAAATTGGTAGACCCCTAGGGGAGCAAGTGGTCTGTGTATTAGGAGTCTTTATAAAAATCTATCCAATAATTCTACATCACGAATTATATTGAATGTGCTAAAGAAGATTATAGGATTTGTGTGTGTGTTTCCAAAACTTGACAGTGCTATGCACAGAAACAGCTTATAGTAGAAAGAAAAAAAGCCATTGACAAAGGTTAATATCTTTTTGTATGATAAAATAGGCAAAGGACTAAAGCAGAGAATTAAAAATTTTTAAAGTATCAGAAAAAATGTTGAAATAATCAAAATCTATAAGCCGACAATTGAAATATAATGAAAACTGAAGTTGGTTAGTAAATGTTTAGCTCTAAGGATTGTATTCATGTGTCAGATGAACAGATGGGCTTTTTGAATTTCCTGATTTGCTCAGGAATTAACTCTTGTTATTCGTTGATTGAGCTCAGTGGGCAAGTTAGGTCTAAGCATAAAGTACTTATGTGAGAAAGTACTATGATTGATTATCTTCGCGTCATCTCTTCAAAAACAGGAGCCCTGCATGATCATGAAGTTCTGGCACTTCCAGGTTTGTTCTGAGAGTTAAAACTAGGTAGCTGGCACATTGGGAACATTAGATAAATAGGCATTCTCAGATTAAAAGGTGTTGAGAATTTGATGATGTAGATAAGTAGATTACCAAAAAGCTTTTGTTATGTGTTCCAATTGTGCTGAAAGAAGCTTCTGTATCTACATTAGATCAATGGAAAGGATGGGGAAACTCCAAAGCCACGGGAAAGGAAACTAAGAGGAGCAAGAGGGCCAGTGGATTGTCCAGATGGTTTGGGGCCGCATTCAAATTGGGGCTAACTAGTTAACCACCCTGAGTAATAGGCTGCCATCTTTTGTCCTGCAGATGCTGTTGATGGAGTGATGAATGGCGAATACTATCAGGTACTGAATACTCTGATAATGTTGAATGAGATTGGGTAGAGTCTTCCTTTGCTATGGTTTGAAGTGAATGAATGGCGGAGAGAGAGAGACTCCTTTCTTTTGACTTTTCCTTGATGTCCTCTTGGAACACTATCTGCCAAAGTAGAGGATCTGAAGAGAAGTGGAATTGGTTGGGTGAGCACGCTTTTAAAATGTTAACTGGGCTGGCTGGAGTATCAACGGACTCCTCCAGAAATGACCTGCCTATCCAGTGGAACTAAGGTCACAGCGGGGGTGGGGGTAGTGGGTTAACCCCTTTATGCTCTTGGGATGGGGAAAGCGCTAAGTCACTGAGTTAACACTTTGAACAATTCTTTGCTAATCTCAGTGGGTTATCCTCATAATCCTAGTGGCTTGAGAGTCATGTCAGCTCTTTCAGGACGCACATGTGACGCTTAAGTCAAGGTGAACGTGAAAAAATAAAGCTCTCACAAGTTCTTTTACAGGATATCATTCAGGTAATGATGATTTCATTTGTTGGTAAAAATGTACTTATGGCTGCCAAATAGTTTTAAATTGTTGTGAGGGACAGGATTGGCTCTTCCATCTCAAAAGTGTGCCAACTCTGCCCTCGTTCCACAGCTCCAGTAACCCTCTGAAGTTGACTAGCTCCCCAGCCTCACCCGTCAGAAGGAGGAGTCTCTCCCCAGGACTCCCCGCCCTCTCTTCCTTGGCGTGACTGTAGTGACGAGGCATTTTCTTTAGGACCCTGTTTCCTCGACCACCTGTCCTCGATCGGGTGGCAGGGACGGCCTTTTCCCTGCATAGTACAGGAACAGCTAGACCCCTTAAGGGCTAGAGTTTGCTCTGCTGCATGTTGACCTTTGTTAGTTTGACGTCTCCACGTAGCTTTTCTATCTCCCCTCATATCTCACTTATTCATAGGTAAGATAAGTACTCTGCCTCCCTCAAGGTATGGTAAAAATTAAGTGCAGTAATTAAGCTTTTAGCTGAAAGGCCGGTGGTTCGGACTTAGCAACGGCACCACATCTTCACAGCTGCTCCACAGGAGAGCGCGGAGGCTACCTGCTTCTATTAAGTTCTGCCACCTCGGACCCCCTCTGGCGACGTTCTCAGTCCTGTCGGGTCGTCCCTGAGAGTCGACATTGGCTTGATGTCGGTGGGCAATGTTCACAGAACCTGTGGCATGTAAGGCACTCTTGTTAGTGCTAAGGCCCTGAGCCTCTCCCTTACTTGAGCATTTTGCACTAGCCCTCAGCTCTGTGTGTAACAACAGTTCTAACCAGGATGAAGTATATTTCTGGAAGGAGTTTTGGTACTGACAGCACGATTGTGTTTTGTGTTAAGGAGAGTAATGGTCCAACAGACAATTATGCCGCTATCTCACAAGTGGACCGGTTGCAGTCAGAGCCTGAAAGTATTCGCAAATGGAGAGAAGAACAGATGGAACGCTTGGAAGCCCTTGGTAAAGAATCCCTTTTTGTCTTTGGTGTCAGTTTTCAGTGGAATTGTTAACCTTAACTCTACTTTTAGCTTGAATTAGCCCTGGTACCTCTGTCTCCTGTGTGAGACAACCGAAGGTCACAAAGCCACCCTCGTGGAGGTGCTGACTCACAGGTCATTGTAGGGCAGCCCAGAGAGCCACCGAGTGCCTCATCTCCTTTCAGAGCAAGAGCCAAATGCTCTTGTCTCGAGCAGGAGACGTGGAGGAAAAGACTGGGCTCCAGCCCCAGCCCCAAATAGCTCAGACCTTTCAAGAGTCGGCTTCTTCACTGTGGCGTAGGGTCAGCTATAGGACCTCACAGGTAGTCTTAAATGCTATTTATGAGAATACTTTATAAGCTTGAAGGTCGTCTGACTGTGAGACGTCCGTCATCCACTTATAGTTACAAGGCTGGCTTTGAGTGATGCTTAGGAAAAAAATTTAAACTACACTAGCATATGACAATTTGTTGTCATGTTAACGTAATACCCTGTGAGGCGAGGTTTTACATTTTTATGGGCGAGGAAAGTAAGGATCAGAAGTAAATGTCGCTCTTTGAATCACAAAAACGGGAGTGTTGGTGTTTATATCAGCCCTACTTTGGGGTCCTACCCATCCTTCTCCCTTCGTTGTATCCCAGTGGTTCTCAACCTGTGGGTCACGACCCCTTTGGAGGTCAAACTACTCTTTCACAGGGGCCGCTCGATTCATAACAGTAGCAAAATGACAGTAATGAAGTAGCAACGAAAATAATTGTATAGTTGGGGCATCACCACCACGTGAGGGACTGTATGAAAGGGTCGTGGCATTAGGAAGGTCGAGAACCACTGTTGTATCCAAACACATTCCATCTAAACAGTCATCTAGTTTGGCAGGCGGAGCCTCAGATCAGTACCCGTTAGCCTGCCTCAGTGACAAGATGAATGCAGATGGAATAATACCTGTCTGTTGCCTCAAGTAGGGACCTGGTGGCTTTGTGTAGACGGGTTAGGTAGAGAAGGCTGTTGGGTGATGAGATAAGCCAGGACATAGCGTGTTCAGCTATTAAGAATTTAAACGCAGAAGAGTACAATGAATTCCTGTATCATCTAGATACAATAACACTTTGGGTTACATTACATAAGTGAAATATGTATGTGTGTGTTTTATATACACAAGCACGCTTAGGGGTGAGGGGCTGTTCCACTTCTAAGATACAAACATCATATACTTAATGCCTACTAGTGTGTTTTTCTGCAAATCTGCAGTATTCAAGAATCCCCAAAGAGATTTTCAGATGGAGAAATTAAAATTCAGAAATAAGGGTTAGTGCCAAATCGATTGTCTCTTTGGCCCAGCATCTGTGATTTCAGAACAGACTGCACACTTAATTCTGTTGGACTCAGTAGGCATTTCCTGGGTCACTGAGGTCGTCTACCACTGTGCTGTTCCCTGTGGAAGCCACTGAGCCCATGTTGATCTTGAACAGGGCCTCCAACTGTCCATTGAGTCCCACCCCTCCTGAGAGTTTGCCTTTCCACTTCCAGATGAACCCAGTCAGCATCTGCACTTTCGCAAGGTCTGCAGATCTCGGGGCAGCTTGTTGAACTGTCGGTTCTGATTCTGGGGTGGAAAGGTACATCTCGGCAGGGAGTTGAGCTGGAATGACCCAGTGTAAAACCTTGCTCTTGAAGACTTGTACCTAGTGGCTCCTGTTCTAGGTTGTGCAGCCTTAGAAAGATGAAAGAGAGGGCCTTTGGTGTTAGCAGGCTTGTTCGTTGTGTCTTCTGCAGGCTTAGAGGCAAGACTTAACACTGATATTAGTCCTTCTGGAGCATTCTCATGTTAAAGAGCCTAGCTTCATCTTGGTTCTTCTCAAAAGCTTTAGCAACGTTTGTTTTTTCGATGGCCTGTACCTTGCTATCTGGAAATTCCTTGTTTTCTTTTTCCGTGATCACATTGGGCCCTTTGGAAATAGTCCTTGCAGCTGGTTGACTCGAGCTAGCTGGAGACTGAGGTCCACATCTGGCACTCCTTTCCACTGTAATTGAATGCACTTGGCCGGTGCTAAGTGATCTTCCGTCTCCCTTTTCCCTTGGTGAAAGCTGAGAGAGAGCACCAGTCGGAAGCTGCAGAACCAGTGACAGTGCTGCCTGGCTTTCCGCTGCGCTTTTGCTGGAGATGGGCAGAGGCAGGACCTCCTGAATGCCCTCTTCTCGTAAGACAAGGCTCTTTCCTGCCCCTTCCTCCTTCACTCAGAGAGAGTGCAGTAAGGCTTGGATCTTTGCCCCATTAAACGAAACATTTTAGGATGCGAAGTTCTTACTGCTAGTAGTTCCGTGTAAATCTTTTAAAAAGCTACATGACAATTTAAAATGAGCTGTTACATGCAGTAAATATTGTTTGTGCAGGTGCCCATTGGCTTTTATTTAAATTAATTTATTAGAGATCAATTTCCATATCCTTGGCCTTGGTATATAATTTAAAACTTTAAATGAGTATTAATACATTGAAAGAAAGAAAACATGTCATTCAAAAAAATAACTTGTTGGGTGCAACTTCACGATTTCCAAGGAGATCTTACATCCTAAGTGTGGTGTTCCCCGTTCCTGTCCACATGCTCACACACCCCTCCCCCACTGGCTTTCACGGCAGTTTTAGCATCTTCCTTTCCACATGTGGCTGCGGCCAGGGATTTACAGTCCTCAGTGGGAACAGCCAAGTAAATAGATTTTCCTTCTGAATAACAGATCACCTTCTGACAAGTTAACAAATTAGAAAATGTCTGTATAAATAATAAAAGACCTTTGATCATCTGAAACTGTTGAAGCGTTTCTAGCTGCTGCTAGGTGATTTCTAGCTGTGACAAAGCTTGCTCGCCAAGACCCTGAACATGCCCCGGAAAGCACACTTCCTCCCTTCAAGAGGTGACTGGATGCCACACCGTCTCTGCTCCCTTCTCCAAAGATACTAATTGTAGGTTGAGCTCTTGTCTGGATCACTGGCCACCACCTTCTAGCACAACCTATTATTATTCAAAATGTGCTTCTCTTCTGTCGCTTTGGCCGAACTTGAAAGCCAGAGCCGGGTCTGCAGTGTGGCTCTGCCTCTGACTGTCTACCCTTTGGAAGTTCACTTTAACTCTCCGAGCCTTAGCTTTTTCTCACTCCAAGAGCTTACCTTCTTGAGCCGGTTGTAGCGATGAAATGAAATGTCTAAATGAAATGTCTTCCCAAAGAGGACGTCATTCAAAACATGTTTAAAGTCAACTCTCAGGGTCACTGGAATTCTCGATTCCACGCACCGATAAGGCCTGTCTTTCTGTATCTCCTACTCCATGCTCACATACCTTTCTTCAGCTGATTGTCTCAGTGAAACGTATATTAAGTCCTAAAAAATCACCTTTGGTGATAAGCCCCCAGGAAGGGGGGTGGGGGGGGTTAGACATTGCCATGGGAAATCTGCAGTCTTGGTAAACGGCGAGAGTTGATGCAAATCCAGGTGTGTCTTTCCCCTCATTTCTGGAACCTCTTGGTTAATTGTGCGCCCCCCCACCCCCACCCCGCCCCCTCCAAACACACCTGCAAAATATTTGACTGGTGAGCTAGCCGCCAAGGGCTTGGCAGATTGGGATGAGCTTCGAAAACCAAGAATAGGGTCACTGAACTCCAGAATTAATGATATAAATGGGAAAAAGACAGGGCTTTTTGTTCACTACTCTGCACGCACGCACACACACACACACATTCAAGTGCACACTCACCCACCCTTAGTTTAATGAGACCCAGATAAACTGATGGAACTCACTTAAATTTGTGTTTTCCTTCAATTGCATGGTTTTACCTGTCCTCCCTTCCAAGATGCCAATTCTCAGAAACAAGAAGCAGAGTGGAAGGAAAAGGCCGTCCAGGAGCTGGAAGAGTGGTACGCCAGGCAGGACGAGCAGCTCCAGAAAACAAAAGCGAACAACAGGTCAGTCGGGAGGGAGGGCCGGCTTGTTTCCTAGGAGCGGGTCCCAGTCGGTCCCAGCGCCCAGTCTAGGTTCTCGCTTCCTCGGTTAGTATGAACTGCCTTTGCAGACTTTTGTTTTTCTCTAAAGTGCTTGGAACAGGCTTGCAGATCTCTCGTTCTGTGAGCATCAGCCAGCTCGTGTGAGTGCAGCCAGTAAACAAGACCTGGGTTGTTAAGTGTCGCCCGGACTGGTCGGCACCGCAGGAGAAGTACTCCATGGATTAAGCCCCTGTGTAAACATAAAACCCTGAAATGAAAGGTCACTTTCCTGACATCCCAGGATCCCGTTTATTTCAAGATGATTATAGACTTCCTTGGTCTCTTCCCTCTCCCCTGAACCCCCCCACCCTGCTCGCTGAGAGCTGCCTCCTGAAGGGGCCCATTGGTTGGGAAGTGTGCTTTGTAATTAGGCCGCAAGGGAGTGCCAGCAGAGTGCATAACTCTCCCAGGAAAATCTTGAATTGACTTTTTAAAATGTTCCTTCTCTTCCGGTGCCTGTGGAGGTTCAGGTGTGTGGAGAAAGCACTTTCCTTTCTGTGGCACCACCAGCAGCCAGCGGCTGTGACTTCAGGGCGCCCCACTTGGCAGCTCCTCCCTGCAGGCAGCTTAGAGAGAGCCCAACTCCCTCACTGGTCAGCCCTCTCACTTCTGTGTAAAGGCGGGCCTGACTGGCCCACGTAAGCATTTTCGTCATCCTGGTGAAGAGCCTTCCTGTACCCTGGGGAGGGGAGCAGGCCTTGGCTATGTGCCCTTGTCTCTAGAAGTGAATCTGTCCAGAAACGAGGGACAAGGCAGGGGAAGTGGGCAGTCTAGTAGCCAACCAGTGTGTTCCATGGTGGGCAATTACGATAGGACAGATGGACTCCTTTTAAAGCACCCCTTCCGCAGTCTGTTTCTGGTTATCTAGCTCTGCTTGCTGTCCCTCAGGTGCCAGGCTCCAGCCACATCCTGGCCGCCCCCTGGAGAACCCGCATTCGGGGAGTGCCGGTGGTGCCCCATTTGAAGTGGGTGGCAAGGGTGGGGACTCTGCTCTCAGCGTCAGCGGCACAGGGCTAAGGTCGAGCTGTTGGGTCAGTGTGACTTGCAGGCAGGTCCTCCTCTTCCCCCATGTGGGTTCGCGGTCACTTGCCTCCAGTCTGTGCGGAGAGGAGTGGGTGCTAAGTATGAGCCCCTTGCCGGGCCCTGCGGCACCTCAGCAGATGGCCGTGATTGGGTTGGGGACAGGCTTCCCTCTGCACAGTTTTCCAAGCCAGTTTTGGTGAACTATTACTGTTCTTCTGTAAAGAAAGGGGTGCTTACTGTCTGTGGGTAGAATTTTTGTCTTTCAAGAGAGTATATGCTCTGTGTTAAGGAGTTCAGTCCAGTTGACTAGATTGACTAGGCCCCCCAGGCACTGGTTTGTGGCTTTGATACCTTCGGCTTTGTGATTAAGTGCTTGATTGCTCATTGAAAGGTCGGCAGTTCAAGTCCACCAGCTGCTCTGGGAAAAGATTGGACACCCATGGACAGTTAGGTCTCCCCTGCCCTCTGGGGTCCTTTGAGTAGGGCTCCACCAGGGTTACTGGGACTTGTAGAATGTTGCATGGGCTGGTTCCCCTCAGAGGTGAACTCTAGCTGCGGAGAGGGAGAGTGCGCTACTCGTGGTGCAGAAAGCGAGTGGCATACGAGCCACTGTCGCCACGGCAGAAGGGGGGTGGGTTTTACTTTTGGTCCCAATACTTCTTTAGTGGTTAGGGGTGGGAGTCATTTAGAATCTCTGGGGAGGATTTTTTCCAATGGCTTCTCCCTCTCTCACTTTGATTTCTAAACATCTTAAGAGACCAGAGCACCAAGATCCATTTATATGTATGAGGTGTCTCGTCTTTGGGTCGGTCTACAGTAAGTAGTGTCTTTTTAGGAAGGAGAATTGGGGTGCCCGTTTCAAGCCCCTGTCGTTCTCCTGGGCTGACTCCTGCAGCAGCTGGATGCTACGGGACCCAGAGCCCTGAGGCAGAGAAGCAGAGACCTTTGACAGCAGCGCGGGGGGTGGAAAGGGCCTGGTTCTGTGGGTAGGCCACCGGCCTCCGCCCTCCCAGCAGCCCTCAGTCATTCAGCACAGCCTTGGAGACCCTCTCGGTCAGGCCTCGGGTGGTTGGTCAGCAGGTACAACGGGGCCTTCACAGAATCCATCGTCCATTGGGTCAGGCCGCAGACTAGCAGACTATACACCTCCCTCCTACCTCTTCAGTAGGGGCCTAAATGTCACTGCCCAAGAGCCAGGTAGTAAGTGGCAACCTCTGGGAAAAGGTCCCTTGTCAAGGGAGTCAGTGGACATGCTCCTATATGTAGTTGGGTGTTTCTACTCCTTCCCAAACCCTCACAGGAGCCCTTCAAGGATGACAGGGAACTTTGGAGCTGACACTTTGCAGCTCTTTGGGAGAAACCGTGATTTTCTGGGAACATGTTTTCCCATGCCCATTCTAGGTTATTTATGGAGGGGCCCACATGGGAGTCAGGTCTCCTGAGCTTGCTGTGTGTCAGGACCGAAGGTATTCCTCCTCCTCCCCTTCCATCCTCCCTGCGGCCCTCCACGGCCTGGCTGAGGGCAGCTGCTTTGTAGCCCCTGGGTGACGAACAGGCAGGTGGAAGAGCTGCCTCTGGGATGTGTGTAATTGTCTCTTTGTTCCAGGCCTGTAACCTTGGCAGGCTGTGCTTGTCACCAACTAGCTCTTTAGCTGCGGGTCTTGCTGCAGAGCCAAGCCTGACAATCCACACTTTTGTCCTCTGGTACTGATGCCATGAACGGGAGTCATTAAACGTTTACGCTCTTGCAGCTGGAGAAGCTCGAGTTAAAACCAATTAGGTGTGGCCTCTGTGGGAACTGACAGGCTCAGGGGTTTACGAACCGAACCGGCCTGCCTTTTCTTTCCCGCCCCTCACTGTGCCCACAACCAACTCAGTTTTCTTTCCTGCTGACAGACTGCTCTGTGTGCTCTTTGGGAATGCCCACAAAACACCTATATTTAAAATATGGGAAATATGGGAAAGAAGGAAGGGTGAGCTTAAAAATAAACAGATGAAAATTCAGGTAAATCGTGCACTTCGAGGAAGGAGTCCCTTCCAGACCACCACCCCCTCCAGATCAACCCAGCCTGGACTCGGGATGGGGTCACAGTCTCCACGGTGGGCTCTGGCCCCAGCCACAGTGGACAGCGCTGGGCCTGCTGGGCGGTCCCCATAGTGCCAGTTCCTCCACCCAGAGCCCTGTCATCTTGTCCCCTACCTGGTCTGAGGGAGAATTGAGGAGTCAGTGGGTTGAAGTTGTGGTTTCAGGGCTGTGCCTTGTGAAAGCCAGTCGAGCCAGCGTGGAGCTCTAACTTAGAGAGTGTGATGACCTCTGCAGGCGGTGACCGCCCTGGGCTGGGATGTACACACAGCCAAGCAGAGCCAGGGCCCCTGACTCCTGCCCACCATGTCCCGCCTCCAGGTGCTTTCACTCTCAGGTACGCATTTTGGAATGACTGCTTTCCCAGGATCCTGAAAATTTGTCCAAGCCAGCCAGTGTGGGGAATGGAGAGTTAGACCGACCGGCGCGGAAGTGGCAACGCCCAATGGTCTTTACTCAGCTAGCAGGGAGGGGCCCAGCTTCCTACATGCACATCCCTGGGAAGAGGCTTCCTATCCAGAAAAGCACATTGGGTCCGGGTCATTGGCAGAGAGAGAGCTTGTAAAATGCAGGTGAGAACACTGGCGGTCCTGCGGCTCGTAGGGCTGAGGACAGAGTCAGTGTCGTGCATCTCTGTCAGGGTCTTTGCCCATCACTGGGGCTTGAGTGCCCATTGCTGCTGGGACAGACCCCCTGCAGCATGTGCTCCAGAGCACCCTGGAGGCCTTGCCGGGGCTAGGATTGAGCTTGCGGGTTTGAGATGTTTCTGCTTCTCAATGCTCTCTCTTTTTCCCTGCCTGCTTGCCTGCCTTTTGGATCTCTTGCTGTCTAGGGTGGCAGACGAAGCTTTCTACAAACAACCCTTCGCTGACGTGATTGGTTATGTGTATGTTGCAAAACTAATTCCTTTCCTTGTTTTGATTCTTTCTACTTTCGTTTAGAGTTAATGCTTTTATGTCACAAGTTGCTTTGCTTTTTAAGTGATTTCAACCTGGCACTGTGGGGCTCCTCAGAGAGGATAAGCCGGGGTGTGACCCATTGATGGTAACAAGTGGCAGAATTATGGCTTCTTGCATCATGGGTTTCCAGTTTTCACATTCAGGGTTTTAGAGGGAAGAAAGTGAACTCCCTTTCGAGATTTGAATCCCTCGTGGCCTGGTCTGGGAAGGGTTTGGGACTCGGGTGGACTCTTACTTCATGCTGTTGCTACCACCACTGCTGCTTCTGGTGCCCTGCGGCCCACCCCTCACCCTGGGTAGGAAAGAGAAATCTTCCAGTCTGGGAGGAGGGGAAGCCCAGGAGCAAGGAGCAGCAGAACTAGCACCTGCATTTCCAAAGTCAGAGCTCTGGGGCAGCCTTTTCTACATTTGGTTACTGGACACATACATACCATATATGCATCATAAGATATGGGGTTACTTGCCTGTCCCTCAGGGCAGAAGAATCCTGTGCTGGGGCAAGGGAGTATCTTTGAGGGGTACCTGTGCAGGAATCATTTGGTTCTCTTAGGGACTTATATTGGGAAATTGTTTAATGGTCAGCTTCCCACCCAGGCCAAAAATGGTTCCCAGTTAGGGGTTTCAAAATAGTCAAAAGTGATAAGACACTGCCGTTTTGGCTCCTCCCACCCCATTCTGGGAGTAGATTGTGTTTTTTACAAAGATTCCTGATCTCAAAAGCAGTATACCAGAGACTTGAAAACAGGTCCCAAGTTCCCTCCTGAAAGCCCAGGGCCCTGGTTGATCTGAGGTAGATGGAGGAGGAAAGGAAGCTGTCGGGGAGGGTGGGCAGTAGGTGGAGGTCTGGCCAGGCCTGTGCCCTGGAGGTGGGCTTCCTGTTAGAAGACAGCTGTGTGTCCAGGGCCCCCAGATGTATTTGCACTGAGACTTGTGAAATGCTGGACTTACAGGTGGTGGTTGAGTGATTTGTGCACATTCTCTCTGGAGTCGCAATGGAGCCTAGAAAGGCCGAATGTGGGTCTGCCGGGCAGCAGGGCGGCCCAGCAAAGCCAGCTGCACGCTCCTAGCATAGATGGAGTGCGAGGGCATGTCTAGCTGACTGACCATCTGCATTGAGCTCATTCTCATCTTCTGTAGCTGACCTAAAGTTTCTCTCCTTGTTTTTTTCTTCTCTTCACCTTTAAGCACAAACATAAACCATCCTTGCTACAGCCTAGAACAGTTAAGTAAACTTTTCTCCCTGCCCCTAACTGTGTGTGCCATGAAGTCGCAGTGTTGTGGTGGCTCTGGGCTTCAGCAGTGTTTGCCACGGCCATCCCTGTGATAGTGCCACCCCTCCCTCCCCACAGACCAGTCATCTCCATTGCTTTCGCTTCGCCCGTGGTGCCTGTTGGAGTAGCTGAACCTACAGTGTGTTTTCCCTCCTCTCTTAACCACTGTCTATCCGGCTAAGCTCCCAGCTCAGGGTGGGCTGACGTGGACGTGAATGAATGTTGGAGTAGACCCTGCCACAAAGCAACTCCAGTGGCTCTTCTGCCAGCGTGTGCCGGGCGTGGCCTACGGCACCTGGCCGCAGGGAAAGTGGCGAACTTTCGGCTCAATTGGCGAATGTCCTAACCAACTCTGGGAGAATGGCTTTCGTCTCTGGTGCCTGCTAGCATGGGGGCTTTGTCTTGAGTCTCTGTGATCTGTCTGCCATTTCTCTCCAGCCTTCGGAATGAATCCACAGTGTGTTTTGCACTGTCCTGTGGACTTTTTCCAAAGTCTCTAAATTTCCTTGAAACAGCACAGCCCAGCTCAAACTTCGACTGCTCCAGTTCCTGGCCAGCCGCCTGCTTTGTTCTACTCATAAACGCAGTGTGTAGCTGGCTACAGGCATGCTTTCTACCATTCAGAATGGGCAGAGCGAGAGAGAGTGAGCCCTGAACCAAACACCTGTATTCCAACATTTTACACAGCAGTCCGGGCCCACTTGTGCTTAGAGAGCCGGCCCTGTGTCTGCCCCCGAGTCTGACCCAGGCCGGGGGGTGCCCTTCAGTCAGGCATGAAGAGGCAGTCACTTTTGTAGCAAGGCCGCCAGGTAGCGCGGGTTCTACATGACACCAACAGATTGTGTTGTTGCTTCCAGGGCGGCAGAAGAAGCCTTTGTAAACGACGTGGACGAGTCTTCCCCAGGCACTGAGTGGGAACGGGTGGTCCGGCTGTGTGACTTTAACCCCAAGTCCAGCAAGCAGGCCAAAGACGTCTCCCGCATGCGCTCTGTCCTCATCTCCCTCAAGCAGGCCCCCCTGGTGCACTGAAGAGCCGCCTCTTGGAAACACTACATCTGCAATATCTTAATCCTACTCGGTGAAGCTGTTCCCAGTAATTGGATTGATTATGTTGAGTTCTTTTGGACCAAACCTTTTTGTCTTTAGAGTTGATCATTGTTTGTGATTGCATGTTTCCTTCAACTGTGCTCTCTGGCGTTCAGAGAGGAAGGGAGAGGAGGGAGGGAGGGAAGCCAGCCTCCCAACTGTAGCCTCCCCTGTGCTTTTGTGCATTCTTTCTGAGAATAAATTTCTGTTCAAACAAACGTGAAGCTTCTTATTGGCCTCAAGGCGTTGTGCAGCTTGGAGTGAGGTTTGAAGGAATGAGGCACTTCCTTTGTCATTCCTAGAGCTGAGGGGGCACAACCATCAGGCGCCACCCCACCCCACCCCCCCTTAGACTCAAATCACCCCTAGTCTCTCTACTGCAGTAGAATTCTGTGGACATTTTCACTGGCAGAGGCGGCTCTGTGGCTAAAAATTAACCCCTGTTGCTAACCACAAGGTCAGTGGTTCAAACCCACCAGCTGTTCCACAGGAGAAAGATGAGGCTTTCTGCTTCGGTAAAGAAGCCCTCTATAGACTCACCTGGTGAGAACCTGGTGGCAGTACATTTGGTTGGTTTGGGAGCCCCTTAATAGCTATGGGTTTCATCAACCTAGACATTTTCTCCAAGATGGGCTCTTGGCACTGTTCCTTAGTGTAAGGTCTTGGTTAATATGCTTCATCCAGGGTCTCCGAGCGTGTGGACTATATATAATAGGATCTGGACTCCACTGAATTCAGCCACGAAACCTTGGTGAGGGATGAGCATTAATTGTGTGGTAAAGCATCATTCTTGATTCCCTAGCACGGGGTGGGCAGGACCTGGGCCATCCATCCCTAGCATTCTGTCCATGTTTGTCTACTACAATATTTCAATGGACAGGTGCTGTCTAGTGTAGTAACCAGACTTGTGGCCACTTAAATGTAATCATTCCTAGCCTTAGTCACATACATGTGCATTAGCCATGTTGGGTGGCTTCCAGAGTGGATCACACAGATTATACAGCTCCGTTGTCACAAAGTTCTATTGGACTGTGCCACTTACACCCCAGGTTGATCCCCTAAATTCTCCATTCAGGCATCAACACAGTCTACTCCTAGAGTCTGGTACGGTACCTGATGTGATTATGTAAGAATAACCCTGATTTCAGTGATGAGCTTGTGTTGTGTGTGCAGTTGCGTTGATTCTGATTCACAGCTACACCGACCACTCTTACAGGGACACATTATCAGGTCTTTTCTCCCAAGGAGGGGCTGCTGGGTTTGAGCCACTGAGCTTTCGGTTAATAGCCAAGTACTTAGCCACTGTGCCACCAGAGTACCTTGATAAGACTCAGAGACACCTGATCGTAGTTCCATGTCGGAGATTGAGGTAAACTATCATACTACTTCGGGGTGAAGTCTTACCATTGTCGCCAAGGAAAGTTCACAATCTTGAATATCAACCGTGTTTGGTGGGCAGACACACCTCCATTACTTTGACTCTCCTTTCCTAGTTTGGTGTTTCCTAATCTGGCCACATTTCTAGCCTCTGGCCATCCCTCCCCTTTATCCATCCAATGCAAGCAGACACAGTTTACAAACTCTTATTTCTGGGTCTCATTGCCTCCCAGCTACATGTCAGAATCCAATCCCAGAACTAGCCCTTTGAGGTGGCTTTTGGCCACCTCCACCATGCCTTGCCTTAGTCCTTTCAAGCCCCCTGAACTCCATGACCCTATCTCGGTATCTTGTGCCATCTGGACCCATCTTCCCATACCATGATGGGCTGATTAAGAGTAGACATGGCAGGTTTAAGATGCCAACAAAGTCACTGACATTCTCCAAACCAAGAGCTGACAGGTCACAATATGAAGTGATGGTATGTGACTTCTAAGACTAGGTTATAAAAGGCAATGCAATTTGTGTCTCGTTTGCTGGGACACAATTACCGGTGGCACTAAGCTACTATGTAGAAAGCTCTACCACCCTCAAGTCACCAAACAGGGAATCCATGCTGGCCCACGTGGAGACCAAACAGGCCCATACACTGCATGCGGAGAGGCCTGGCTAAGCCCGAGGCATTCTAGCCTATGCCAGCTCTGTGCCAGCACCGGCCACTGACTGCTGGGAGGAGAGGCACCCTGTGAGCCAGAACTGCCAGGAGCGCCTTTCCTGGATTCCTGACCAACAAACCTAAATCTTGAGGTCGTTGTTACATAACATTAGGAGCCTTGGATCAACTCACACTTTTTTTATTCCCATGATGATTCAGAAGAGGAGGGAGTTGGCCTGGGGCCCACCTGGGTGCTTCCATATTTAGTTTCAAACCTTTAGGGGCCAGTTGGCTTTTTCTGTCATATTTGAAATTCTCTAACAATACTTCCTGTTTATAAAAGACTAGGGTTGAGAGATGGGTACTATTAGTTGCCCTAAATTAGACAACCTTTTAAGGGTTTTATAGAAATGCTTTTAGCTAGTGAGTTAAAAAAAGATACCAGAGTATCAGAATTTCCACAAAGAAATATATTTTTTTTTCTTTAAAATTTGGCTCAGAATAATATATTTACATCAAAATAAATTAAGATTTTAACTTAATGTCGTTAACTATATGTAATCATTTGAATATATTAGCCTTTCCATGGATTTAATAAAAACTTACGATTTGGATTTTTATTCGGTATGATCCTTTCAATGTTTGGTGTGAAACTTGCTAGCAGTGCAGCTGCTGGGATGAGTGGTGCCCTTCACCACCTCGCCCAGACCTTGATAGCTGAGCAGGCTCGCTCCCTTCACAAGAGTCACCATGGAATGTTTCAACCAGAACCAGGACTGGGAGCTGACTCAAGGGCTGGCAGGTTTTCAGGAAATTTGCCAACCTCTTACCAACTTTTCACATTGATCCACCAGGAAGGCAGGCAGTTCAGATGTGAGTTTGAATCTTTCAATATACTTTATATGTTAACACTGAAGCAAATATGTTGTCGAATCCCCAAGGTTTTCCTAAGATAAAAAGATCTGACAAACAGAGCTCTCCATTTTTAGGTCATTTAAAAGTACCCATAAGAACCTGTCACCAGTCTAGACCAAATACTGTGCAGGCAGAGCGACACGTGATTGGCTCACAGCTGAGACAGGGTCAAGGATGCATCTAGTTACGTCCAAGCCAGACAGTATTACTAAAGTTTTGGGTAGCCTGGAGTCAATTTGGGTATATTTACATCTGAAGTCTTTTTTGATGGTTGAGCAGAAAAAGCACAATGGGCTGGGGCTTTAGGCACATCATTTAAACAGCTCTAATTTTTCTCTCACATACTCAAAATTTGTGAGGATTTAGGACAATGTATATGAAGCCCCTAGTTCAGAGCCTGGTGTACGGTAGGCCCTATATCAGTGGTGACTACTAGTATTTCTTGCAGGTTAAAATTGCTGACCACCTTCTTGCCTTGGCCCTTGTATTTTGATACCAGTAAGAGCACTGAATCTTATTAACAGGGTTCAGACTCTCAGATCTGGACACTGTTACAGCACGTACCAGCACTGGCCTTAAGGGTGTGGGTCCTTTTCCACCTGATAGGAAAGCTATTGGAGGGCGAGGCATCAGTTAACAGTGATCTTTTGGGGACAGTTAATCTCCTTTCAAAAGCTGTCCCAGTGGCTTTTCAGCTGTCCCTAAGAAGATAAGGACAAAGGTTCCCAAGGGCATCATGATTCATATCCTTGGACTTTATATAAAGTCCCTCAGTTCTGCTGGAGTATCAAAACGACACCATTCAATAAATCACATTTGGGTGACAGATCGGTCTGATGTCTTGAGTGTGATGACTGCTTCTCAGGGAACATGCCTGTACCAAAGCCTATCAAAGAGCTCCACAAAGCTGCCTTTCGTGAAAGTCCTCAAACCTTGTGTGGTGAGCCCTCGGACTGGAGCTGCATCTGTGAACTGGGTGCCGAATTGGAAGAGGAGAATGACTCATCCAGACTAGGGTCCCTCTCCCGCGTGAGTCAGGCCTGCAGCTCGAAGGTGTACCAGGTGCACAGCTAGTCGGCAACTCCATGGGGCTCCCGGACACCAACGTGGTGACTGGAACAGGGTTTGAAATGACTCAAATTCGGAGAAGGAGCTTCTACAAAGCAGGGGTTGGGAAAGGTGACTGGAAAGGGAGACAAAATGTAAAAACTGCTTATTTCTCTGCTCAAGAGGCACCTGCTTTTTTTCAATTGATTATCAAAAAGGTAAGAACTTGATTTCACTACATCTATTGCTCTGGAGACTCGGGCCCGGGCCAGCCGTGGAACACCTAGTAGATCCTGCGAGTTGTATAGTCCAGGACCATGCTGGCAGCACCCAGCAGGGCAGGATCTACCAAATCGGAAACTACCACGTCCACATCCTGAACTGAAGGCAAAGCTTGCTGGCGGATGACGTCTTGGATAGTGTGGATGTAGTGGCTGGCCAGGACTCCGGAGAGGATCACAAGGGAAGGATTGACCGTGTGCAGGATGTTCACAACGCCGAGACCCAAGGCTGTGCCAGCTGCAGGGAAACGAAGAGTGAGCTTAAGGGGGAGGCCAGATCCAAGCCACCAAAGGGGGAAGTGGCAATGAGCTAGTGTTACTTTAAGGAGTGACGTATAAACTTCTACTGAATATCCCCACAGGATCTCTACTAGGTACAAAAAGAAATGATTAGAATGTAATTTAATGGTGGATCTAAGTGAACATCAAGACCATTTCTTCTACTCTCCTAAACCTAGAATAAGCAAACATTATTTTCATAGTTCTGAAACAAAACAAAACAAAACTCCTTTTTAGAAAGGGACTGCTGCCAATACCATGAATGTAATTCCCCCCTTTCTAAGTAGGAAAAACACTTCTAACCAGACATCCTCATCTGTCAGTGGGTTGGGGCCCCAGGGTGCTAGAGGATCACCCGATCCCCACCTCATCCCCACACAAACATACTACAGCTGAGCTGCCGGAGCCCCACACTCACCAGTCCGTAAAATGCTCTGGGCCTTCACGTTGCCAAGTTTCCCAGCTTGGATGAGATGGAGGGCACCCACCGCCTCATCCTTTGGCACTGACATCCCTTCTACCAGGAGCAGGTCCTCTGAGTAGAGTCGAGAAGGACACACAGTGGTGAGTGACTTGTGAGCAGCCTGGGGCTGCA